CTCATCCACACGGCTCCTGAGCACTGCTGGGGATGGTGATGCCACCGCTTCCCCGGACAGCCTGGTCCAGTGTGTCACCGCTCCTTCCATGCAGAAATGTTTTCCGAGTGCTCCCCTGGGACAGCTCTGCCCCATCCCCTTCCTGTCCCCTCATCATCCATGCATCCGATCTCCATCCCATCCCACCCCCTCTCCATTCCACTCCGTCCCATCCCATCCTGACCCACTGCATCCATTCAACCCCACTCTGCTCCTGCCCCGTGTCCATCCTGTCCCCTCATGATGCGCCTCACCTCATCTCCATCCCACCTCATCTCCGTCCTATCCCATCCCACTCCATCCTATCCCATCCCATCTCACTCCATCCCATCCTGACCCTCCTCCATCCATTCCACCTGGCTCTGCTCCTGCCCCATCTCCATCCTGTCTCATGTCCATCCATCCCATCTCATCCCACACCATCTCCATCCCTCCCACCCTCTCTCTATCTCATCCCAACATGCCCCATCCTGCCCCATCTCCATCCAGCTCATCTCATCCCATCCTACACCAGCTCCATCCAGCTCCTCCTACCCTATCCCATCTCCATCCTCACTCCATCCCCTCCTCACTCCATCTCCTCTCCCTCCATTCTCCACCTTCTCACCCTCCCCATCCCTCCTGCCACCCAGTAGCCCATTTTAGGGCAATGGCCTGAGCCGTGGGGACCCCAGGCCACCGTGCCCAGGCTGCTGGGGGTCCCAGGCAGCATCGCCCCGTGCTCCCATCCAGGACTTTTATTTCCAGTGCACACAGAAACATTGCCAGCTCCGCAGGATCAGGAGCGGGACGAGGGCAGCGGGACCCTCATTTGCCGGGCCAGTAGAGCACGAAGCCATCGCGGCTCTTGCCGAAATCGGGGCTGGCCACGTCGGGCCGGGTCTCCACGGTCAGCAGACGCCGGCGGCCGCGCAGGCTCATGGATGCAGTCGGACACGGGGACCTGCAGCTCCCGCTTGGTCCTGCAAGAGCCCGGGCTCAGCGCGGCGCCTGGGGACGCCCGCGTGCCCTCCCGCGTCCGTCCGTCCGTCCGTCTGTCCCACTCACGTGCGGCAGTGCTCCAGCAGGACGCCCACCAGCTCGCCCGCGCGGTTGTCACCCGGCGGCTGCGTCTTGTGCAGGCACACGGCCACGTCGTCGCGCTCCTGCGTGTGGAAGACCACGAGCTGCGCCTGGCAGCTCGTCACGCTGAGACCTGTCACCTGCGGGGCGCGCGCGACCATCAGGAGGTGGGACACCTGCGCCGGGCGTCCCTCATGGCCCGAGCTGGGACACTGGGACCCCAGCGGGCAGGGGTCCTGGGCATCCAGGAGATGGGACACCAGGAACAAGGGATAGAGGCACCTGGGACACTAGAAGATGGGACACCAGGACCTGGGACACCAAGAACAAGGGATACAGGGACCTGGGACACCAGGAGGTGGGACACTAGCACCTGGGACACCAAGAACAAGTGATAGAGGCACGTGGGACACTAGAAGATGGGACACCAGGACCTGGGACACCAAGAACAAGGGACAGAGGGACCTGGGACACCAGGATTCAGAGATACAGGGAGTTGGGACACTAGGATCGAGGGACAGAGGGACATCAGGACACCAGGACCTGGGGCACAGAGATCCTGGATCACTGGGATCTGGGCCCCTAGGACACAGGGACCCTGGCAGCCAGGGACCCCAGTGACCTGGGACACCAGCAGCTGGGACAGCGAAACCTGGAGCACCAGGTGCCAAGGACCTCAGGGACCTGGGACACTTGGAACCAGGATAGTGCAAGGCAGGGACAGCAGGTCATGAAGATGCATGAGGGAGCTGGGACAGTGGCACCAGGGAGCACCGGGGACACCAGGAGACAGGATCACTGGGAGAGGGAGGACACCAGGAAACACAGGACAGGAGGACACAGGGAACATGGACCTTGGGACACCAGCAGTGAGGGATCCCGGGGAGCCGGGTCGCAGGGAGGTGGGACCTGAGGACATTGGGGACAGCAGGGAGCTGTCCCCAAGCTCACCGTGCTGAGGGGCAGCGCCCGCATCACCCGGTACTGGCGCCGCGGGTCGAGCTTGTAGAGGTGCTGGTCGGTGACCAGGATGGCCCGGTCCCGGCTCTTGTTGAAGCGGTTGATCTGTGGGGACAGAGCCGGCGTGACCCGGAGCCGGGGGACGCGGCGGCGCCAGGGGACAGCATGGGGGGACCCCTCACCTTGCGCACGTGGCAGGAGAAGAGCACGGCGCCGAAGTGCACCTTGTCCCGCAGCGCCTGCACGCGGCGCGCGAAGGCCAGCGCCAGCGCCGGGTTCTCCGTGACCTGTGGGGACACGCGGCGTCGGGAGGGTGGCCGGGACCCCATG